TTACACTATCATCGTCACACATTAGAGGGGTTGGGAGAAAAGTCGGGCTGTTGTAAATGAGATTGCGACGAGTTGTCCACGGCAATATTCAACCGGTCGGAAAATACTGGAGTTGAAGTTAGAAGAATTCTTTCGAATTATGCGCAGCAAGTTGGATATGCCCGTTGTGAAGTGTTCTTATTGCTTGTAATTGTGATTCGCAGCCTTTATGAAGTTGGATGCCGTGGAATTTGTCATGTAAGCGTGCCAAAATGCTTGGAGGAACGCTAACTGTTTTCATCGAAGATATTATTTTGTTGTGGCGGAAGGTGGTGTAGTGGCAAGTGGCGCGCTTACCACGCGAGCGGTCCGGGGATCAAATCCTGGGTCGTGAGTCGCCCGGGCCAACCAAGCCTTCCATCCCTCCGGGTCGGTTAATTGGTACCAGACTTGTCTGGGAGGATAAAAACACTGACTTTACATCGGCTGGCCCCCGCAAGTCATTGTATAGGCCACATCGCATTCATAACTCCCTACGATGTGGATGAAAATAGAATGCGTGGCACATCCTAGGAAGGAATCAATCAATCTGCGCAGACCAATTCATCCTTTTGGTCGTGCTTTCTCCATTGGTTTCACTATAATCTCGGGCGAAACGCGTAAGTGGTTTTGATAAGTGGAAGCGAAATGTAAGGAAATACATTATGGAATCTCCAGTTTGTCTCATAATTGAAGAAACACTCGTTTTTCATGTTACGTTTATCTTATTTCTGTAGATTTCAATGAGGTCGGCAATAATGTGATATAAGGTGGTCCATGCTTGTTTTGTCTCATTGTCGAAGTCGTCGTTGCATTCTTTCACTACAGCAAGTACTGGTTCCAACATTTGCTGTAAAAAAAATCATTTTAAGTGCGATACCATCTAAAATAATTTGAATGAGGACTTTGGAGAGTGACAGGCGCAGTGATAGGCGAACGTTTCAAATTCTCAACATTATCAGAAACAATTTGCCTTGGTGATGGAATGGTGGCTACGACTGAAGCTTTGAGCAGATTTTGTCAATTTGATTTATCTGAACAACGAGTTTCCGGATAGCTACTGGAACAAAGAAGTACTTATGTTCCTGTCAGCCATTTTTCTCATAAATGTACTTGGAACAAGGATCTTATGCAAAGTTTAGGTTAGGGGACAGGTGGCAAGGGCTTTTGAAAAGAAATGGTTTGCG